ATGTATTATACTAAGTACAGAAATTAAGTTAAAAAGTAATGCATTGTAGCTTTTCTATAAGGAAAATATGGACCTTCTCTGTAACATTTTATTTACAACCTAAAGACTGCATTCTCATAATGCTTTCCATGTCCTTCATGACTTATGAAAAATGCTAAGATGACCATATTTTCCCAAAGAATTTGTCACTTCCAAATCATTCACCATTTAAAGAAGCAGCTAGCTTCTTTCCTTTTGTCTTTGTAAGATCATCGAGCAAGCAAAGCAAGCATTTCTCAGATCTGCTGTTAGCAGCTAGTAAGTTCTAGGGCAATCCATGAAATTTATGTGTATGGCCTTATCCCCTCTTTTAGAACTAAATTGAGAAATATCCTTTGTTAGCTTTCGAGAGTCTTGTCTGTCAGCTGACATGGTTTATGCGTGGGAAAAGAGATCAGAGTTTCTACTGCGATGGATTCTGTAGAAGCCTAGCTTACATTTTTGTATAGCTTTTACATTATATACTAAATATGGAAATTTCATTGAAGGAAACCTAAAATAAGGAAAGGGATATAAAATAATTTACTGTTTGTTTTTTGTTGCTAGCAGCTTTTAATAATTGTATTTTATTTATAGACTTTTAAATATAATTATTTCTGTAATTATTTAGCAATTGGATAATATAAATATAATGACTGTAGCTTGGTACTTAGAGCTTAGACATAGTTCGAAAAATGTTTATTTTAAGTAATCTTAATTTAGTACCAAAAATTGTATTGAATATAAATTCACTAAATTTAACAATTTAGTAATGAAAGATTTTTTCTCATCAATTCTAGAGGCATAGAGAGGTTTTACATATCTATTTCATATACAATAAATTTATTATATATGATGACAAAAACAGCACTGAGTGCAATTAAGTTTTCTTTCAATATTAAATGGTAGACAAAACTGTTGTTTCAATAAAACTCTTTCTTTGGGCTTTCGATGACACAACAGGAATTCTTCTGAGGTGCCAGAGAAATATTTCTTTCAATCACTTCTTAAATATATGCCTTCTACTACAGAAATATAGTTTTGTGGCAATATTCTTTTGGAAAGGCACTCACAGAACAGATCTTGCTGGCTTACAAATGTTTGCTGATAAATCATCTTTATTTAATGATTAGTTGAGACGTAATTCTCATAGAAAATGTGTGTATAAAATATATTCTCTGGTACAATTAAGATGCGTAATGAAACAAATTTATTCAATATTTAAATAGGATAGAAGAATTGCTGGATTTCTGACAAGATAAGTCTGTACACGTCTGGGAAAGAATGGTCTTATAAGACATTTATTTCTCCTGATGCAAAGATATGATGCTTCTATGCTTCCTTTCAACTCAATAATGTTAAGGCATATGACTTAACACCTATGCATTTAAAAAACATAGCACCTACTTTCGCTACTAATAACTGCAATAAGAACATGGAACAGATGGCATCTAAAAACCAGGAGAAAATTTGGGAGTGTTTTTACTAGAACCACAATTATAAGGAATGTTCCAATAAATGGCCTTCTATTTTCTTCTCACAGATGTTCAGAACTAGGAATGCTCAGTTCTTCCTAGTAACCCTTTCCAGCTTTTGATCTCTAACTGCTCCAGTTAAAGTCTCTTCCCTCTTCCTTCAATAATTTTATTATATTTTATGTTTTTTTCCCATAGAACTTGTAGGTCAAAACTGTGTCATTGATTATTTTATTTGATAATCTCTTTCAATCAAAAAATTGTATCTTCCATTCAGCTAATTTTTAATAGTTGTCAATCTCTAAAATACAACAAAATGATAGAAAGAAAGTCAGTGTGTTGAGAGGGAATGAAGATCAAAATGTTCTACCTTTGTCTAGCTGAAATAACTTCTGCTTTCAATTAAACCTGTCTTCAGTCTTTAACAGATAAGGGTAACAAGGACAGCATGTAATCCCAGCAAAATCCTGGTATATACTTGAAGAAAACTATCTGGGACATTAAGTGAACGATAAATCTTTCTTTAACTTCAACTCCTTTTAGAAGAAATGAAGGAAAACTATATAAATAAACAAGTTATTACTTTCAAAGTGTATAAAGTCTTACTTCTTAAAAGAGACCATTTTAAGAGCTCTACCACAAGACTTCTTTTAAAGCAAGGAATCGTCATTAGACAATAAAAATAGTTCTCAGGGAAAATTCGACAGAGAAGTAGCAGTAATTGGAAGTAGCAAACTGGGCCATAAGTTCCCGGCAATGCTCCCATTACTTGGACTGTCACGGACATTCATCCTTATGCTTTCCAGTTCTCAGTTATCTAAATTCCACATTTTAGTTTTTCAGAGTGAATGGATTTGCAAGACCTGGATTCCTTCAGAAGGATATTCGATAGTGTAATGGCGTTTATTACAAAAACACATTTACTGAGACTATTCCAGCCCAAGCAATAAATGGAAATTTTCTCTCACTAACATATGTGTTTATTGGTGGGTAAGAGGCAGATCCAAGAATGATTATGGATGAAAGAACATGAAAAAGTTCAATTATGTGAAGCAGAAATAAAGTCATAAATCTGAGCGATAAAATTTGCTAAACACCAAAGAGGTACATTTTCCTCTTTGTTTTCCTCCATATTTTCATTATAATGACAGGAATATGAACATACTGCAACATGCTTCTAAGGAGACACATTTGAAGGATTTTTCTGTGGACCTCTCATGTTTTGTTCTTGTTGAGTAAGAAAACTTAACTTTAATAATTGACATGGAGAAAATAATGTATATATTCAATATTAAGGTGTAGGAAACTGTAAACCCCAAGTAATTACTTTGGAAAAATCCAAAGTCATTTTTTTTCTTTTTTCTCTCTCTCTTTTTTTTTTTTTTTTTTTTTTTTGTCGGTCTTGAACTCTGGGCTTGGGCGCTATCCAGCTCAAGGCGAGTGCTCTACCATTTGAGCTACAGAGCCATTTCTGGTCTTCTAGCGATTTATTGGAGATAAGAATCTCACAGACTTTCCTGCCCAGGCTGGATTTGAACCGTGATCCTCAGATCTCAGCCTCCTGAGTAGCTAGGATTACAGGCATGAGCCACCGGTGCCCGGCTATTTTTTCTTGATATAACACTGCTGCCATTACATTTCTGGGACCAGGGAAGCATGGAAAGAAGTATTTCTTAGAGTACTAATGTTCAAGACCTAACCTGTATCATTTTTTAAATTTCTAGATTTATAATGAGTTATCTTGGATGGGTAGGGGTTACAAAATTAAGTACAGATACATGGTAAGATCCTTATAATACCCAAATGTTATGTTCAAGATATGAAAGAGGCAGATTTGCCACTGGATATCTTTGGTAGTATGGAGGCTCTCTCCTAGTGAGATGTACAGAATGGGTTGGTAGGTGTCAATGGGCTGTGAGCTGATGATGGTAGTAATGGAAAGGTGGGCGTGGAAGATTTAAAGGTTACTCTGAAACTTCCCTCCATGTTTTTCTAGGCTCTGCTAATTGATGAGAGAAATACGAATCTTTGTTTCATTGGATTTAAATTTTGAGGGCAATTTCAAGGGTTGAAAGATGCTTCATCATTCATTCATCCATTCATGTGCCAAATTTTATGTGTGTTCCTGTACATGGCAATCTTCTGTACTAAATGTTTTGGGTAAAATAGTGAACACTGACTTTTATTTTCCCTCTGTACAAAGTACAGAATTTCTTTCTCTGCAGGTCCAGCAGTTCATCTAGATTTAACAAGGTAGTATATCATTTAGAGTAATATATAATAATATGACATGATAATGACCATAATATCATGTCTGGGAAAAATAATACATTCAAACAGTTTTTCTCCTCAATAGCATAAAAATGTTTTGTTCTAGAATGACAGAAAAAGATAACAAAATAGATGATGGTATAATCTTGTTATTCTGTTAAGAGATGGAAGCAACACTAAAATTATGAGAAATAGAGGTTTCCTTTCAATTTCGTTAGGTGACAACTTCTTCCTTGCCAGAACCTATGATACGAATAAACTGTAGTATATGTCACTGGCGTTTAGTTAGAGTCATTTATCAACTTCATAAATACTTTTCCATATCCACTTATAACTCGTATTCACACTTAACTGATACTTTTCTCTGAAATGATGATTTGGTAAAAACAAACTATGATGTATGTATGTATGTATGATGTATGCAAAGGTTATACAATTTTTAATAGAAGAAACTAGTACACTGACTATACTATAAGATGGATATGATACTCAATTAAATTAAAGCAAAATAACATTTGGTTATAGATTGGTGCCATTGTCTATTCAAGGCTCTGAGACTAATGATAATGTCTGTTCTTCCTTGCCTGGGAAGGGTAATTTGTAAGGTGAGAGATACTACAGATACTCTAGCATCAAATTAAAGATTTCTTTTTGACACAATCAAAAGATAGAAACACATATTGAGAAGGTGACAACTACTTTTTCTTCCTTAATGGAATCTGCTATACCGGAAACAATATTTTGCCAAGGTCAATAATACAAACATATATATATATATATATATATATAATATGTATATAAAAGCTTTGTTTTTTTCTTATTCTACTTTAACAACATGATCAATGAACTCTATTACATAATTGTGAAGCATTTTTAAGAATAATTGCTTGTATCTTTTATTCTTCAATTATTCTTCCTACTGTGGGTGTCTTAAGATTGTTTAGAAGGTAGAAATTATTTAGAAGGTAGATTTACTGGAACCTCTATGTTTCCAAAGGATTTGTTCAGAATGAAGCGTAGCCCCCTTAGATGCTGGTGGAGGCAGGCAAACCTCCAAGTATGCCAGCAATGTCTTGCACAAGAATGCAGGGTAAATTAGTGTGCAGAACAAAATGATCCCTAGGGACTTGCACTTAAGTTTCCTGACCAGAAGATCATACCCTTTTCTCATAGATAAGAAACCTCAAGCCTCAGACCAATGAAACATAGCTTGGAGAATGGTCCCACAGGGCTTACCTCCTGTTAGCATGAGGGCACATTTGCACATACAGTTGTCATTATCAGCATCTTTAGTGCTGAAATCAGCACCGTGTAAGATCAGGCTGCTCTGTTTTCCTGCCGTCCCAGTGTGACCCTTTAAATATAACCTAACGTTAAAAAAGAAAAAAAAAATCAGTCACTTGACAGAATAACAGACCCAGAAGACTGACTTGCTGAATGTTTAACTTTTTCTTCATTTTCTCTCTTCTTTGAACTTAGCCCTTCCAACAAATCAATCTCTCAAAACAAATGTTAAAAGAAGGATCTAAAAAGGGGGAGAGAGAGAAAGACAGAGAGAGAGAGAGAGAGAGAGAGAGAGAGAGGAGAGGAGAAGAGAAGATAGAGATTAGAGATGGTTTTAATGCTTCATGTTTATTTCTCTATGCACATACAAATGTACACAGTTCTGCACTAATGGAGACTCCACAAAAATAACACAGCCTATTTTATATATAATTTAATATAATCCTTATATTAAATTTGCTTTATTGTTTTTATAAAGGTGATGTACAGAGGGATTACAATTACATGAGTGAGGAAATGAGTACATTTACTTATTATTATAGGTACTAATTTCAAAACACAAATGTCTTTGAGTGTTGATGTGACGCTTTCGCCATTTATACTTAGTAATTCTATGGTACATGTCATCAGCAATGCAAGTAATATGGTTCATTGGTAGATTTTCTAGGTGCTAAACACTGTTAAATCATTTTAACCGTTAATCTAATTTTGATGAGGTTCTTTTCTTTTGCATGAGTGATACCAAATTCCCACATTTGAAGGACTAGTATAAGAAAAAGAACCCTAAGTGTATGTTTACACAACATAGATAACTTCATCCTGAATTTACTGTGTTGGTAGCCAAGAAGGCAATCTATGGCTTTGGGAGAAATTAGCTTTAGACACATGCATATGTGTGCGCACACATGCACACACACACACACACATCTCACTATTATTTTGTAATGTTTGGTCTTATTTTTGGCAACAGTAGAGTTTTATGTTTGTATAAGTTATTTCTCAAATTTCTCCAGAGATTTTTTGAGCCAATGGAAAATATACAATTCAACTCCAATCAGGATTCATTGGTTTTGCTTGATTAACTTCTACTTAACAGCAGTACAAAGAAAGTCTAATGTTGACCTTTTAATACTGTATTATTGAATGCAAGCATCTATTTTAACATTCTGTGGGACATACTAAAAGTCGCTGGTAATTTTTTGTAAGTGCCAATTTATAGGTGAGGCTGTGGCCAGAGCCTTGTAAAAGTGTATTTCACTAGAAGAAAGGTAGATAGAAAATCACCAACCAGAGTTCTGGGGAATATTTCCTGGATGAATTTACCACCTCCAAATATAAAGTTTTAGTCTGATTATTACTTCTCAGACACATATAGACAGTTATGGAATTAGTTACATGCTTTGTTAGATTTCCATGTATAGTCAAATTGGGAACATACGTCTGGGCCAGGGTTGAGGGGTAGTCGCATAGATTCCTCAGAGAAAACTTCACAAAAGCCAACATATAGAAACAAGAGGTTTTCTTTGTAGTGGTTGTTTTTAATGTACTATGTGATGTCTTTTTCTTTTATATTCCCCCCTCCCCCCTTCTCCACCCCCCTCTACCCATGGTTTATCCCTTGTTGTCACTGTATTTGATTTTTTTTTTTTTTTGTCAGTTGTCGGGCTTGAACTCTGGGCCTGGGCGCTGTCCCTCAGCTCTTCAGCTCAAGGCGAGCGCTGTACCACTTGAGCCACAGCGCCACTTCCTTGATTTTCTTACCCTGTGTACTGTATATATGTTTATCTGAATTAAGGAAGGAAAGGGAAGCAACAAAATGGCGAGACAAAGGACAAAGAGAGAACCAATGCAACAGTGATACTCACAAGACACTATGTTGGGGGCAGGCATTGGAGGAGAAGGAAAGAGGGAGAAAAATGAGGAAGAGCGTATCAATGTTTGACAAGAAATGTACTCCCTACCTTCTATATGTAACTGTAGCCCATCTGTGTATCATCTTGACAATAAAATTAGATTAAAAAATTTTAAAGAAGACTAATTTGAGGGGGTAAATATAATCAACATACATTATATGCATGGAAAATTTCAGTAAGACACATTTGTGCAATTAATATGTGCCTATAGAAATGAAATTAAAATCTCCTAACTTTTCTCTCCAAAAAAATCAAACTACATATAACTGAAGAGATAATTGTTTGGTAAATATATAGTCCTCATAGGCATGAGATGAACAGTCCCTAAGTTAGATAGCTGACTGCTACTCTGAACTTGACTTCACTAGTCTGCAGAAGCTCTTGGATGAGCAATGGCAGCTCTACATCAGACTTTCAGCTTTACCATGTTACATGATGGCCTTCCTTTCTTAAGGAAAGTCAACACTATTTACTTTGAGCTCACTGGTCAAGACAGACTTGCCAAAGCACAGGGATTTTCTGCAGTGCCTTTGCTAGGCAATTCACCAAAGGTACTTAAATGGATACAGAGCAGCTTCCATATGCTCCATTTATATGTATATTATTATATTTACAGTTTATATTAGTTATGTCCTTTTATGTAAAGGATAATCTAAGCTTTGTCATTTGCAATTGTTTCTTTGTGTAGCCCAGGAAATAAAAACGTAAATTATAAAATTGAAAAAGAAAAAAATCCTGAAAGTGGGATTGCTAGATTACACAGAATTTCTATTTTAGCTATGTATGTATGTATGTATGTATGTATGTATGTATGCATGCATGCATTTTGAGCCCCTTTGGGCTTGAACTCAGGTTCTGGACATTGTCTCTGAAATTCTGTGCTTAAGGCTTGCACTCTACCATTTAAGCTACAGCTCTACTTCTGGCCTCTTGTTGGTTAATTGAAAATGAGGATCTCATGGATTTGCTACCAGAGCTGGCTTCAAACTGTGATCTTCAGATTTCAGCGTCCTGATTAGATTGGATTACACTGCCACCTGATTGTTTTTAGTTTTTAAAAACAATTTAAAAACTTCCATATTATTTTTTGCACATTTTTTATGGTAAATATGCTGTACAGAGGGTTTACAGTTACATGAGCAAGGTAATGAGTACCTTTCCTATTGAGCATTTTTGCCTCCTACTTTGTTTTCCCCCTAATACCTTCCATATGATTTTAAGAAATGACTATATTCATGTATATTGTCACCACCAGTGAATAAGGGTTCTCTGAAATCAGTATGTGAGAAAATATACCTGAACTTAATCACAATAACCAGCATTAATCAAAATAACCAGGTACAGAAGAAAACAAGGTATCCATCAATGGTTGAATGGGTAAAGAAAAATGGCATATAGGCACAATGGAATACTCTATGGTCTTTAAGAAGAAAACTTTAACCTTTGCAACGTGGTGTAGAACTGTAAGACATGATATTAATTAAAATATGTCAGACACAGAACAACAAGTAACATATGATCTCACTTTTGTGCGATGTCTAAAATGGTTACTCTTATAGAAAGAGCAGTTGGAGTTTCTAGAGATGAGAGGGAGGGAGGAGGATGAGGAAGGAAAAATCTTTAAGCAAAGGATGCAAACTTTTATTTAGATTGCAGAAATTAGTTTTAGAGATCTCTAGAGAGCACTGTGATCTTTCACTACATTGTGACCATGGTTAAAAGTAAATACAATACCTATTTCAAAATAGTTTTAAAGTAGATTTAAAAAAATTACAAAATAAGACAAGTTGAGGGAATCGATATATTAATTAGCTTGAGCCTTTCTACAGTGTATATGTCAATAACATCATATTATACACATAAACAGGCAAAGTTACTATTTGCCAGTTAGAAAGGGAAATAATATTAAAAAGAAAACAGAAAATGAAAATCAACCTAAATCACTGAACATAACTATTGATATTTATATATATTTACAACTTTCAAACTAAATAAAGCTTTCCCCCATAGCGCTCTCTCTCTCTCTCTCTCTTTTCAGAAGTAATCAATCATGCCAGTTTTGTAGCCTTCACCATCATTTCTCCCCATGTGTAAATGAAGATTGAAATAGAATTTTATAAGGTGAGTTTTTTATGTAACTTTATGACCATCATCATTTGGAGGGTGGTACGTAAATACATTCTCAATTGTCACATGATTTTGAGTGCTTTCAAGTCTCTAAATATACATGCAGGTGTATATGTTACATTTCATTTAAAATCTATAACATTTTCTCTTCTCCTGTGCCTGAAGAAGCTTTGTCAATATTGAATAGAGCTATTTTCCTAGATCCATTTAAATTGAATAACAATTGGAAGTTCAGTCTTTTAGTTCTTATGGCCTTTCAACAGATAGCAGCAGAAGTCCTACCATTAGTTTTCCATCCTTCCTTTCTCCCTAAAACCTGTGCTCCATACACCTAATCATTATTCTTCACCCTGGTTAAAAATCACAGTTCTCCAGATACTCGAGAAGTGTAAAGTCTAAATTACCTACCTTGGTTCACAAAGCCTTTGAAGTCTGGCCCTTGCCTGTTATGTACCTACTTTCTCCCATATCACCAGTACCTCCCATCTCTGCTTACCCCCCCCCCCCCACTGCTTTACCCTTGTCTAAGCACTAATTCTCAATGTAATACACATTAACTTCTCTGTGACTTTGCTTGATTGAGCTGCCCCCTCCATCTAGAAGGTCTTTCTAGTTTTAAATAGAGTTGAACAGCTAAATTTCAATTCATTCTTTTTCTTTTTGTCATTTGTGGGGCTTGAACTCTGGGCTTGGACACTGTCCCTTAGCTCTTCAGCTCAAGGATAGTGCTCTACCAATTCAACCACAGTGCCACTTCCAGTATTCTGGTGTTTTATTGGAGATAAGACTCTCATGGACTTTCCTGCCTATGCTGGCTTTGAACTGTGATCCTCAGGTCTCAGCCTCCTTAGTAGCTAGCATTACAGGCATGAGTCACTGGCACCTGGCTTGATTCATTTTTAAGAATTATTTCAAGAATCAAAGAGCAGCAAATACATACCTTTATAACAATACTTACCTTAGTAATGGTTTCAACTAAAAAATATCTGGCTTGTATTTTAGATGAAATAAGTTTGCATCTCATTTAGCTAGGCATTCAGGTA